CAGAGGGAGAACGCTCCCCGTCCCGCAGCTCCATCATCGCGGGCCGCGAGAAGCACCGGCCAGACGCCCTTGCCACGGAGGCGAAAGCCCGGAGGAGCCTCCAGCGACAGCCGGAGCTGGCTGCGAGCTGGCCACAGGCTAGGAACTCGACATCCTGTTTAGCTATTTTTGTCGAGTGTTTTGTTGTTTGGCAAAAATTCAATAATAAGCAATAATTTTGCCAACACCACCTGCCTCGAGGAGTGAAAAAAGTTAGCGGGAAAGAAAGGAAACGCAGACAAACTGCAATGCAGCAGCGGCCGGCATCGACAGTGGGAGACTCCTCCTAAGGCAACATAAAAAAGCAACCAACACCTTGTAAGTCCTAGCGCGGGGGTGGCGTAAGGAGGCGTTAACGGGCAGGAGGGACCCACCCCGGCCACCAGATGCAACGCCCGTCAGAGCCGGCACTTACACCGCTTCACCTCACCCCGCCGAGATAAAAATGCAGGTAAAGAGCACTCCCGCCGTCGCGTCAGACACGGCAGCGAGGAACGCGTCGCAGACATCCACGCGATGACGTCACTGTCCGGGACGCCATGCACGCCCGCCTCCCCCGCATGGGAACAAGACCCCCGTCGAGGAGGCGCCGTCTCTAGCAGGTTGTGAACGACTGAGCGCTGGGGGATAACCTCCGCGAGGGCCGGGAGCCTTCCAGAAGCGGAACGATGGTTTGAAAACCGTTTGCATTTGTACGTTTTCATCCATTGCTCCGAATGCGCCACCTCCGGCTGTTTGGAGGCTCAGGAAGCTTCATTAGCAGCTTGGTACCAACATCTAAAGGGTTCTTGTCCTCACCGCAGCTTCCTGGTGGCAAGAGTCAACGATTTGCTCTTCGATCCCTGCTCGGTTTCCTGATGTAGGAAAGTACCCTGCTCAGTAACGTTCCTGCATTCGGATTAGAGAAAAACACACCAGCATAACACAGGACAGATTTGCTCTTCTGGAGGGCCGGGGGGAGCGTTCCAGTTCCCCTCCAGTTTATCATCCACCGTCTCCGTTACCTAGCTTTTTTTTTGTTGTTGTTGTTGTTTTTTCTTTTAGCCAGTGATGCTTTTCAATTATTCAAAGAGCAGCCCTACATTTTGTACCTCTCCTGCCTGTGATTTTTCGTAATTTGATGGAATAATTGCAATCTTCTCTCCCTCCCTTCCCAATTTAACCCATCAATTAACACATTTCCTCAAGTGATTTTAATAATTCAGTCTGAGAGACAAAGTCTAATGCACCAAGCAGGAGCATGATGCAAAATCCCAGCCCAAACTTAACCCAAAACTCAGCTGATTTTTCTTGCCTGCCCAGCAAACTTCAACTGGTTTAAAAGGGCTGAAGCGTTGAACCACTCCTGCTTTATTTATCACACGTTTCCCAAAAGCCTTCCAGGCCACCACAATTCACTTCCCCAACTATTTCATGGGCTGTCTTTTTTTTGTTTTTTTTTTTTTCCTGCTGCCTCCTGGTTTCTTTTGCCCGTTGCCTTCCCGTGCAGGTGAAGCCGGCGCTCGCCGGCCGTACCCCCTCTCGCCGTGCGCCCACCAGCGCCACCACCACCAGGTTAAGGTAACTTTGAATGTAGCGGAACCGGAATTGCCAAGGCAAAACTTGCTGCAGCATGGGTCTGGAATTGCAGCCAAAGATCCAAGTGGGCAGCAGGTCAGAACAAAAAAAAAAAAAAAAATACACCCCCTGTAATTAAATGGCTTCATATTAGATTAACCAAAAAAAGTCATTAGAAATAAATGAGTTAGGTCATTCTGCGACACAAGTTAAACGGCAGTCATGAGAGGAAGGAACGTGGCATGGCTCAGGCTGACTGAACGAGATAATTATTTTAGCAAAGGCTTTTGCAAAATAAATTGCACGGAAGTTGAGAAACCTTCTGAAATGAAGTTCTTTAAAAAAAAAAAAAATCCTTGGCTCCTTCAAGGAAGTGGAGAGGAAAAAAAAAAAAGAAGAAAAAAAACCCAAGCGAAAGGAGAGAGACGGTATTGTGTCCTTAACAGCAGTTTGAGAACCAGAACAAAGCCGGCGAGAGTTTCAAAGCACAGCAGCTCTCCCCACTCTGCTGTTTGTTCTGCTCATAAGCAGACAAGCTGCTTCCTTTCATCTGGAAAAACTCACACAATAAGAAAAATACCTCAATAGAACCTGAGTCTGTAATAACAAAGCCCAAGGGGCAGCCAGAAAGAAATGTCTGGGCCAGTAAAAAATATTTGGTATTCGGATCCTGAGAGAGAGCCGACTGCTTTGGGGTGTAGGGCACGCGCACCTCCCACCGCCGCCGGAGGTCGGGGACCCACCGCGGCATCTCGCCTTCCGCCTCTGCCCCCCACGCCCAGATGAAGGCTGCAACCCTCGTAGGTCAGCTCAAAAGCGAGCGGAGGAAGCAGGAGCAAGGAGATAATAGGGAGAAGGGAGCACATGAAAGCCTGCACACCGGGATGAAACATCGCTCTGCAGCACCCTTGAGGAGGGGGAAGCGAAGGAATTAAAAGCACGAGCGCAGGGCCCGACCTCAACGCTGACTCCGGACCCGCGGTAGCTATGCTGCGGTTCAGGAGCCCTGGTAAAAACGTCTCTCTGAAATACTGTTTTGATAAATATGCCATCTCCTTGTGGAATTCAAATCTCCAACTGTTCAACTGGCATGGACATCTCTGCAGTAACACCACATGCCACAGATTGTGAGTTAACTTGAATTACATCTCAAATCTGGGGAGGGGAGGATGTCAGTGGGAGGTTTATGAACAGTATGCTCTCGCTCTGATGTTGTTACAACCAGATGGCTTCAGCTGTATCATTCACAATAAAAAACAAACACAAAAAAACAGTGAAGTTGACAAATAAATCATTAATTCACCTACAACTGGAACAGTCTGAGCAAGTCGCCTCCTTCGCGGCTCTCATTTCAGACCTTCCATGACAAGCACGTTCTGCAACCGCGCCAGGCTCCGCAGGAAGGGCTGGGACAGACGAGCCCCAGAACAGATTATTTTTCTGCAGGTATCTCCCCGTCCTCCGGGGAAGGAGGCTGACAAATCCGTATCACTTTCCTGTAAATACCTCCCCAAAAAAGGCCGAGGACAGGCGACGTCAATACCCTTTTCCTTTCTTCTCGGCATGCCTGCTGCCCAGGGCCAGGCTGAGCCAGGGACACTCCTCCAACAGTTGGCCACTAACGTGACAAGGAGAAGAGGTCTCGCTTGGGTCTGAGTATTTCGGTAAACAATGCAGTTACTGCAGCATAATTAGACATCGCTGTGCCACACAGACAACTTCTGCAATTACCTGGCAATGAACTTTTCACGTCTGTATGCAATTACAAGCTAGAAATGCTGGGTTTGAGTTCTGACAGGGTAGTGGGGAGAATCTTGTTATGACTAAATGCTTGCTTACCTAAAAGGAAATCCAATATAAAAGGAATTAGTGGCGTTTGAGCGCTAGATGTAATATGGGAATTTGTGAGCCGCATGAAAGGACGGCTTTACTATACAGCCAGTTGTGTGTTTGTGATGAGAGCCTCGGTGGGGGAGCACTGAAAGGGGCAGGGACCCTCTCATGAGTCACCATTTGATAAAAATAGACAGCAGCTAGATTAAACACGAGCGCATGAACGGAATTCTCCTCCACACAAGGGACGAGAGGCTAGGAGAGAAGTATCGTAACAGAATGAAAAATCAGAGACAACAGATACCTAATCTATTTTCTAGCCAAAACAGAGTTATTCTCCATAATCCATTACGTGCCCTACCTGACCATCTTAAGGTCAGATCAATTTGCCACTGCCCCGGCACTGCGTATTTCAATCTAACCTCCCTGGAGATTTGGGGCTAACGACGACATAAACGGATGGCGTCGATCTTACCCAGACATCCCACGTAGCACATTAATGTTATAAAACAGACGGCGCGTTACCCTGTTCTCCCGTCCCACGCCTAAGCAGGTACAGGTAGAGGGAAGGACCAGGGGTCAGCTCCACGCAGCTGCTATTAAAACCAATGCTCTCTCTTATTTCGGTAATCCCTGCTACGAGACGTAACACAGGTTTGCACGGCAACGCTGCGCGCGACGCTCCTCAGCAAATCCCACCCGAGCCCCGGGAACAGCGGGTCACTATCGGCACACGGCAGCAGGCTGAAACGGAACCTTTTGGGAACCGGTTTTGAACTGGGAAGTCTTAAAGATGAAACAAACAAACAAACAAAAAGACAAGAGATACCACACAGTACAAAATAGTAATTATTTATATTTTCAAAAAGGAAAAAAAAAGTTACCAGCTATTTTGAAACTTCCTCCCTGTAAGAAGAGTGACTAATAGAAAGGAACGGGACTGGCTCCTATACAGGCGGCAAGTCAGGTACAAACAGTTGTTAAGAATCATTTAGCAACTCAGGACAGGGACTTCTGACGCAGCATTCATGAACAATAAAATTTCTCTTTTTTTTTTTTTTTAAAAAGGGGAGGAGGGAAATAAAGCAGGGAAAAATGCCAAAAACATTTCCCACGATATCTAAAAACAGTAACCGTTGTTCTTGTCAGACAGCACGCTCCAGATCAAGGATTTTCTAGTCCTTTCAAAACCAACACTGGCTTGCCAAGGCTGCCTTCAGTCTATTCACACCCTCCAGAACACACAGCCTTTCACCGGCCCCTTTCACTTCAACCTGTCATTTTATAAAAGGTGGGGGGGGGGTTTCTTTTTTTTTTTTCTTTTTTGTTTTTTTTTTTGTTGGGTTTTTTTTTTTTTTTTGCAATTAACATACAAGTGCTACTAACAGAGAAACTGATCTTCTTGTTGCTGGATGGCAATAAGGAGTTACACAAACGTCCAGTTTTTAGCTCAGCTGGAAGGACTTAAATTCTCTTTTTTTTTTTTTTTTTTTTTTTTTGATATAAATACTACTGGAGCTCCCATCAGGTACTTCCTTTCCAGAACCTCACTGGAAATTCTTTTTAATTCTCCAAAGCTAAAATGTCCTCTTGCTCCAGGCATCTGACGGTTTGTTCTGTGCTGCCAGACGCAGAGACGTTGTTTTCCCCAGCACCACTGCTGGGTTATTCCGACTTGGGTCGGTGCCTAAACCAAACCCTGTACTTAATTGACTCAGCCAAGTCGAAGGGAACACACAGACGATGCAGCGACAGGGATTCATTAGGTTGAACAGCCCCAGAGCCCCAGGCCCACCCTCCCCCCTCTCCCCAAGTTACTTGGTGCTGTTTTAAAAAGTCTGGGTGTCACGAAGCAGTCTCTTCCCCCCAACAACAGAGTAAAAGCTCCACAGATTTCGCTGTCTACCTGGTGGTCAAGGTTACAGCAGCAACAGCTGATGCTGCTTCCAGAAAAACATGGGGTGGTGTGACAGACATGACTTTAGGATTGCTTCAGTCGCTTACGTGGGGGTCCCAGAAAGGGACATTGTGCAGAGGCCAAAGAGCGATACGCCTCAGCCACCAAATGGGGATGCGATACTACCATAGACTTCCAGCCTGAGGTCTCCATGACGTCAGAAGCATGACTAGAAATAAGAGAGAATAAATCTGAAGTTATCAACTGGGGATAAAAAGGATTGACTAAATAGATTCTTTCCTGAGAAACCTGACATTCTTAGTGTACTGTTGTAGGACCACTCTGGATGTGTGTCGGGTATCTCTGTGAAGATTGCAAGCTTTGGCCCTGCTGGCACAACTGTGTGCGGGACAGTCCTTCAACGTCAGGATGAAAAGCTCAGACATACACGGTCCCAGATGGAGGAGCGCAGGAACACAATGCTCATCTACCCTGACTGCTCGGCACAGAAATATTTTAGATCATTATAGAAAGTGCTGAGAAAAACTGTATTAACTGACAAATGGGACTAAAAATTATTCCAGACATCAAAGTAATTGGTAGTCATTTTGTACCTACTGAACGGTCTGCTATGTTACGAGTTGCAAATAGTCCCTCAATATCGGGACTACCTGATGTTCTACTACCTAGAAGTTCCTGTGATCTTAGGAAGGGATCCATAATAGCTCAGACAGTCCTGCTGTACACCGAGCAGTCCCAGCAGGACAAGACTAATCTGCCCGCAGGGCAGTGCCACTTCTGGGATGCCACATAAGGGAAGGATCACAATGGGAGAACTAAAAAAGAGAAATAATAGAGGAGAATCTCCCCTGCACGTGACAGTTCACAAGTTGTGAACCCTACTGCTGATGAACAGCCCTTTCCTCTACACTTGTTGCACCCTGGAGCAAAAGTAAACTCACTAGTTAATGAAGTCCACTGCTTGAGTTTTCAGCTGATCAGCGCTATGTAGGTCAGCTAGAATGAGGATCTCGGCTGCATTTTCCACAGACAGGTTACTGCACAGTGCGTCCTCACACATCACCTTCAGACGTTCTAGAGCATACTGCAAAATACAAGCCAAAGGACAGTTACAGAGCAGAAAACGACCCATCAGGCCTGATGTGAAGCCTTACTTGTGCTCCTTCACTCTCCAGTAACAAACTACTCTATTACGCTGACCAGACCTCTGCTTTGCTACGTGCATCTGAACTGTACTCAAAGAAGCAGCGACCAGCAAAAAGGAGAATCATGATGTGCCCACCCTGAGGAAAGCAATGGAGAGGAAACATACCCACCATAACTCTCATCCCGGCCTTCTTGTGTTACAGGCTTACTGGTGCTGTGTTCATGCTTTGAAATGAGAATTTCAGGTCACCCGTGGTACTTCCACACAGAATGCTGAAGCCAAATCTTTATCCTCACTCTATTACTGTGTGACAGTGATACCCAGGTTCAGTGGGAGGACCTATCTAACAGTGAATGCTCCATAAGTGTTTCCAGGGATGTTTAGGCAGTTTTCACTCAGGTTCTTTGCCATTAATGACCTGCACCTTAAGATCAGCCTTGCTCAGGTACATTCTACTGGTTTAATACTAGAATGTTAAACAAAGGTCCTGATTTCTTGCAGCTATCCAGCTGGAAACAAAACATCACAGCATGTCTGCAATGCCCTGGTGAAGCTCGAGTCTAACTTCACATTCTCAGTCTCAGAGTTTCTACTGTTCAGTTGTGCATTTGCCTCAACAGTATTTTTAGATCCACAGGGGTGGGCCATGTCAGTGGTTTGAGAAATTCGAAGGACATGCTTAGAAGAAGAGTGCCATTTAACACATTGCACACTCTACCTTCGGCAGCACTTCAGTCAGTATTGAAACGTGCAGACACAGCCAGGATTTTCAGAAGCAACCCAGTGGTCTCGAGCAGACTTCAGAAACGTCAATACTCACAGATTTTAAGCCACTTGTTATCAAGAAATGAAACACAAACCTCAAACCTCAGTCTTTTAGAATATCATAGCTGGGAACTGAGATTGAGATACTTCTGAAAATCTTGGTACGTGTGATCTGACCATGGGGTTTGCAGTTCTTGGGATGAACCAAACTGAATACTTCTCAATCGTGCTGAATATTCCAGAGCCCATGGTCACATTCCACAGGGATCAGGAGAGTAGTCAATTCTAATGCAGTTCTTAGATGAGTAATCACATTAGCACTACATGAATTGTCCTAAAGATTAAACACAGTTAAGTCTTCTTCATGTTATGACTTCAAAGTGAGTGACATTTCCAAAATAAAAATCTTGAAGACTGTTAATTTTTTTTATCTGACAGATAACTGCATTGGAGAGTATTCTTCATACTGTTTTAAGGCTTTTTGGGTAACCTAGAGATGATGTGGTGTACAAGCTCGTCAGTATGTGAGGCCGCATTTGGACGAGATACCCAGATTTGTAAGGACTGCTCTGCCAACCTGACCAGAGAGCTGGTAAAAAGCTCATCTGCATGGCAACGGAGCGTGTGCCATATGATAAGCACTATGACTATAAATTGATTTTGTATTCTGATTGAGATGTTCATTCCATTATGATTAAATTTACATGAATTATTTTAGATTACAAAAACGTTTTTTTCACTTAAGACTCTGTGACAATAATTACTTCAGTTGAGGCACAGCACTCAGAAGCAGGACAGTTTTCTCCCACCAGAACATCTGAGAAGGCAAATCAAATTTACTTGCTTAATCTGTATCAATAACTAAAACAGTTTCAAATGAGGGGCAAGCCATTAGTTTATATTATTGTCTGTCAGTAGCTTAAAATGCAGCAAACGAAGCTTAAAATTATTCCTTTTGTAAACTGAACATTCTCCTCCATGCATGTACGATTTTTAGTTTGATTTTTGCTACAAATAGCTCAGCTGCTAATTACATAGTTGGGCAAAAGTAGCCGTTCTGGTCTCTCAGGTACCAAGATCTCCCCTTCCCCCCTTTCTTAATTACACTTTAAAAAACCACCTTACCTAATAGCGTACTTACCCAAGAGGCTGAAATAGTATCTCCTGGGTTGAGAAGACGTGCTTTGTTTTGGTTTTGGTCTAATTACATATTTTCCCCAAGAGACAGGAGGAACTCAGAAGAAGCTGTTTCAGTCTCTTGAGTAAATATTAGATGTTTTATGTGCTTTCATGAAAGATTTTTTATTTCTGCTTTTAAAAGACACACAATGAGTTTAAAAGGAAAAAAAAAACCCTACATTAAAAGCCAGGAAATGCAAAGTTAAAGCCTACTCTGTCCTTAATGTACTGCTGCTTTCTTACACTCGCCTCAGTTAAAGATGGTATGTAAGCTCTCAGTCAATACTCTTTAAATATTGAATAAAATATGTGGCAATGATAATCTCCTTGCATTATTTCCCATTTTAATTCTAGTTGCAGCGGCCTAATAATGGCATATGGAGCATTTCACCTCTAAAATCAGCATTTTTGATGAAGCCCAGGTCTGCAGCGACAGGGGATTTGATGGCCGTGTGGTGGTTGCGTGGAACAAGGTTACATGCATCCACATCTTAAAATCCACCACCCTAACTGGCACCCACAAGAGAATCCAAGGACTGAAGAAGCATGGAGACTGAACTACGCTCTCACCCCTAGAGGTGGTCCCTCCAGGTCAGAGTTGAGGCACATTGGCAGGGCAGTGTGGAGAATCTTGCACTGCTGCTACCCGTGCTGAACCTGTTCGATGGATAAATTCAGGGCTTTAGTCTCCAGTGCTGTCAAACTGGCATCTTTCACCAGCACTAAGTTCACTTTTAAGAGAAAAAAGAAAAAGGAAATAAAATTTTGGTTATATATTACGAATTTTCACTGGTTAATATGGCTCACTGGCCAGCAGAGCACTCTCTTCTGTCCTTGGTGCTGCAAAGGGAAGGAGGCAGCGGCTGGCTGGCTGGCAAGGCCACAGCGCTGCGCCTGCTGCACGGGGACTACCAGCAGCCTTCCAGTCAGACCATCCCCAACACCTCCCTGGCAAGGACCCTGCAAAACCACAGACGGGTTAGGCAACAGGGCTTCCTCCAGTGCACCCCTTCTCTCCATAAACAGCAGGGACTGCCACTGCAAAAAGAAAATAAACAACAGGACCGTCCCACTCTTGGCTATCCATCATTTTAGAGCATCTCTTGAAGCTGCTGATGCCAGCCAGAACCAGAAGGAGAAGCAGGCCCTGTTTGCCAAGACAGAACACTACTTTTGAGATTTGGTAATAATCACACACACACAAAAAAAAAAAAAAAAAATCACCAGGTCCACCTTGAAATTTTGCTGAATAGAGATGTCCTCTGAAATTTTAAGGAAATGCTTAAAAATGAGCAGCAGACAAAAACTCCTGATTGTGATATGTTGAGATCTGTAGATAGCTATAGGTATCTCATATGTATATCCTATCTCATAGGCATCTTATACTACATCCAGGTTTACCTGTAAGCCACAACCAGTTCAAAGAGGCTGCCCAAGCACAACAATCACACGAAAAGCTTACTGCAGCAATCTCCGAGGAGCATTGTGTAAAGCAAGGCGCATGTCATTCCTGGTTCTCTGAACACCCATAAATCCCAACTGTACCTTGTCAGCAGCTGCCAGCAAGTCATCAGCCATTTTGTCAAGATTTGGTGCCTTCCCCGTGTAAATAAAGCACATCATTTCCTTAAAAACTTCAGGCTCCACATCATTGATTTCAACCCGATTCTGTATCAGAAAAATGAAGCTTATTAAGATCCTGACAAGAGGCTAAAGGCTTCCTTCTACCCAAGCTCTTTCAGTATTCAGAAATTTGCTACAAACTATTTAGAATGTGTACTACTTGCAAAAAAGCAAAAAAAAAAAAAAGAAAAAGATGTGGATGGAGTAAGAAAAATTCTAAGTTGTATTTCACATTCTCTACTTCTCCCTATCCCACACCAGACTCTGTCCCCAAGAGTAACAAAGGTAACAATTGCCTCCTTGATCCCTTTCTTCCTCCCTTCAGGACAGCTGAAGCAGAGACCTGCAGCTAATGTGAGAAAAACAGTTAAAAGGTGACAACAGTCACAAACACTACCTACAAAAGTTATCTGACCAGTGATGCTATGAGTTGACTAGAGAGCTATTCACCTAGCCGGAGAAGTTCTCCTTCCTTCAGGAACTTACCTTTTTACTCTCTTCCATCTCATGCTCAAACATGGCGCTGAAAACTGGGGAACGTGCTACAGCCGTGGGGAAAACAAAACACAGTTAGAGATGCTCTTTTACTCTTCAGGAGGAGCTAAGTGTCGCCTGCCAACACCTCAACAACTGTCCTGCTACTTAATGCAGAAGAAATTCTCCTATAGCAGATAGGGAAAATTGGGTACAAGTGATAAAGTAGTATAGGTTGTGATCTAATGTAATGTGGCTGATGTAGCTTCAAACTGGGTATGGCAGAATTTACTATGTCCTTTCAACCAAGGCGGAAGAGTACGTGGGTGGTAAGGTACTTTACAAGAAAGTATTTATTCCTCTGGAAACATGCTAACTTCTCCTTACAAATGCTTTAGGAATACATTATAGTACACTACAACCACAAAAGCATCCTCACCATATGAGGAGATGGGCAATTAAAAATGGCGTAGATATTTCCTCTCTACCTGTAACAGTTCACAAAACAGTCTTGTGCTATAGCTCCGCAGTTAAAAGCGCTGCAGAAGTCTCCTTTAAAGAAGTAACTCAGAAAAACCCACTTGCCATCAGGTGGTTGTCTCCTATCCCGCTAAGGCCCGTCCAACTCAATACCGACCTGCTAGTATGGCTTTGTGAGCCTGGAACTCCTGGCCTGCGACGCACAAGCAGCAGTCTGTGAAGCGCGAGTTCTCCCAGAGTCCTCCCAACTCATCTGCCAAGCGACACTCTGGTACCTTCACCATGTTCATAGTGTTCTGGCCGGAGATGTTGACAGAGTCCTGTACCACACTCACCTGGAGGGGAAAAGAAAGCAAAGAAGCTCAAAACCCCACGCTGGAAAGCAAAAAAACTTCCTGTAGGGAGATTATTTCCAGGGCATGTGAAGGGAAATGCAGAGCAAACCCTGCACCTCTCAAGCAGAATCACTGTACCGTTAAAAATGTCTATGTTTTTAAGGCATCCTTTCTACCCTGCCTTAACCCTGTTCTCTGCTCCTCCAGAGTGTCTACCCCAAGTCCTAAATCGCACCAGCAGATTTTCTTCTTGACCTCAAATTAACAGCACTTCTATGCTGTTTAATCATAACTTTATTAGATGGTTTTGTAAAGAAGTGGAACCTTATTTTCTGCTTTTGCAGACACCATACCTGACCTAGTTTTTTCCTTTTATCAACACTCTGAAACCCTCCCCAATCAATAATGCAATACAGACAGCAGTCCAAATGAAAGTGAAGTATACAGAGAGCTTCTATAAGCGACCGCCGCACCCACACATGTATGCAAGGGCAGTGCCCAACCCCCCCAAGCATCTTGCTGCTTCTGGTTCTAAATGTCTTAGGAGTGTTCAACGCTTCCATCACGTTACAAAATAAAATTAAAACACCCCTCAACAGCAAGTTTAAAAAAAAGCAGCTTTATGTCAAGTAATTAGGAAGATTTGGGGAAGGCAGATAGACTCCTTATCTCCCGCTCTAAAGCATCCAGTTAGGCAGGGACCCATACTGGCTGATGAACAACCTACACAAAGGGAACCGTTAAGAGCCTCTTCAGCACCAAACCATTATTGTTAAACACTCAGTAAATCATACGCCTTCTACAGCAGACTCCAATTAGAAAAGATCAGAATGACTAATGCTACCCCGCTATAACAAAGAATAAAGGAAGAAGCTGACTGACGGGGAAGCATACGTGAGACTATTCCCTGGATTTGCTCTCCAGTCCAAGTTAAATTTCAATTCTATTAATAACCAATGGCCAAAGAAGAACAGTGGACAGCAAAGGAAGCTTCACAATTATGTAAGAGGAGAAGTAAATTATGGAGACGACAGAAGCATCTTCTAAGGAAAAAAACCTGCTGACAGCACACCCCCCAACTCTTTAGAAATCTCCAGTGTGTTTCTGATGGCAGACACATCTTGTATAAACTCTACAATGCTCAAAAAGCAAACAAATATCAGCTGCTGCTTGCTGAAGGACACTAAGGATTAGCCAGAACAAATGCGAGGAAGCTAATGTTCCTCATCACTAATTTGACAGCTACATCATCTTTTTGCCCTGTGACATCTAGACCAGCAACATGGACTCAAGGATGGATGAAAACTCATCAGGTTAATTAAAAAGGAATTCTAAGATGTAGATCTCTTGCTGGAGTCCAATACTAATTACAGACCAGCCCAAACCGACTTGTGAGCTGTGTCTCACATCAACGAATAAATCCTCTTCATGTGCAAAAAAAGGCCAGTTACTGGCATGAAAACCTGTAACATGGCTTTTTACGTAAGGAGTTTAGACTGGTAGATTCCAAGCACTGACCAGCCTTAGAGGTCAAAATAAGGTGTTGCTTAAACTATTGTCAACATCTCAGCAAGGGAACCAATGCTACCCAGCTCAGAAGAGAGCTATTACCGTAACTTTGGGAACACCATTCTTTCTGGAGATTTACCGGAATGGTATTTGCCTATGATGTCGGAATATAATTTAAACAGCAAAAAGTAATGCAGTTGGGATATGAACAATCAACCTCACCTGCAAAACAGAGGTTGAAAAATCCCCAAACCGACAACTAAACGAGGTCAGATTTGAAGTGCTTGACAAGGAACATCATTCTCTGCCTTAACAGCATTTTCAGC